TTACCAGTTCGGAGTCAGCTGTAGCTCCCTGTTGCTGCCGCTGGGGACTGTCCAAATCATCAAAGCTCTCCGAATCTTTTCTGAAGATTCAGAGAGCTTTGAATCGATTCGTACATTTAAACTGGTCCCCTGATTCAATTTGGATTTGGAGATTCGGCCACCGAATTGGGCCGAATCTCCTCTGAATCGAATCACCACCCGAAGCTTCGCATAGCCCTACTATGCAGTGTGCCTGTGTGCTCTGGTACATGGGACATTGCCCAGGGGCAGGGTTGGGGGAGGGGAGGCCTTGGGGGCTGCATCTGCAGTGATTCGGCAGGGAGGAGCCTGGCTGGCAGCCGGAGTGTGGTTTCAGCTGGCCAGGCTCAGATTTCAGGCAGCATGTGCTGCTGCCATATGCACTGCCCTGCTTTTTTTAGGTGAGGGTTTTGACACAGGGATCTCCTGCGCCATGTCAAAAAAATCCCCTGCACTGCAAATTAGCAGCTCAGGGAATGCCTGCATGTGCAGGGTGTGCGGTGCCACAGATGGGTTTGCAGCACTGCATACCACACGTTCCTACTTGTCTGGATGCCCCCTTTGAGGCTGGACCTCGTGTTCGTGTGCTCTGAGGAGCTTAGCATCACTGTGGTCATTCTAATGTCATGTCTGTTAGGACAACCTACATTTCTGATATGAGAAACAAAGCAAGGGAGAGAGAAACTTTAACCCTTCCCCCCTCTCCTTCCCAAATATAGAGAATTTCAAGCCACTGTCATACATCTCAGGGGAGTAAAAAAGAGCTCAAATTTCTGTTTTACAGGTCAACTTTAAGAACCATGGAAAAAAGGCATATTTGTTGCCTATTAAATTAGACATTAAGTTCACAGAACTCTTACCACTAATGCAGAAATGAATAATACAGTATATTTATTCTTGGAATGGTAGACTTGAAGGATCACATCATCCAAACCTTTGCACAAATGTGGAGTTCATTGTTCTTAAACCACCCTGGGCAGATATCTATCTGGCCTCTTGTGTATTACTGCACATGGACTTGGAATACAATTGATATTATGTCTCTTACAGAAAATCTACAGAGGGGAAAAACCCTTAAAACATAGAGAATAGTACTTTATTGTATAAAGCCAATTTACAGAAGTATGGATTGTCCTTGACAAGTAGTCCTAAAGTTGACTGATTTATTCAGTCTGTTGCTGGCTTTCATCATGTGAAATATTAGCATACTTCTGGTTTCTAGTGATTCACTTATACTGAATCTGCAGACACATTTGTGTACCTTTCATTATCTTAAATATATGGGTCCTGTATGCCTTCTTACACCAGTGATAAATACATCCCTTTCCTTTGGTAGACTGTATTTCAGATGCTCATCCACCCTTTTTCCTTTGACTGCAGAAGTTTGTTTTAATTTGTGAAGTTCTCCACAGAGTACTTCTAACCATTGCTTAGTTCTTGACTGTTTACAGACATTTAACCAGTTAAGTGAGATGCACTTTTTGCAACACAGTGCCCTTCCCTTTTGCCAATGACCCTTTTCAAGAATTTCACAAGTCAGACCAAAAGGAACCTTGCAGTTATTGAACCCCAAACCTGACCAACTTCTTTGTACCTAGATACAAAGACTATGTAAAGTTTTTTTTTTCTTTTTAAAACACATTTGTCCCATATACTTTTCTCTAAATAAAATGAAATGGTATTAGCCCCATTTCTCATATACTTCTTCAGTTAGAAGTTCCTTATACATACATGCTCTGGATGGATATGGAAAATCCTAGAAGCACAAATGTGTGCAGTTCAGAATGCAGGAGCAGCCCTAGAATAACAAATTAACATGGATGTGATGAAAGAAAACAATTTCAACTAGGAAAAAACTTCAGCAGCCCAGGGATTATTATAAATCATTCACTGGAGGCTTTTGTAATTGATACTCTTGACTTCCCTTCTGTGCCTTGATGTGTTTTTTTTTCGTTTTTTTTTCTGATGAGTTTGCACTGTCATAGCCTTCCTCCTGGTTTTGTGGTTTCTAAAACACAATAGACCTTTCTTCACACTTCATTCACAAGGGTATTTCAGGTCAGAGCACACATGCACAGTTAGATGGAAGCTAATGGGCACTAACTGGTGCAGGCAAGATCTTAGTTTGGAGTAATCTAGTACAGTTGCCTAAAAAAGTTGTTCCCCCTTCCCTGGTAATGAGAAGACGTTAATAAACATATATAAATTCAGAGAAGTGTTCCAAGAGTTCAAACAGGAATGGTGCTATGTGTTGGACACACATAGATTCATAGATTATAAGGCCAAAATGGACCTTGGAAGATCATTGGGTCCAGCCCCCTGCACCAAGCAGGAAAGACACCTGAGGGTCAGGTGACCCCAGCAAGGTGATCATCCAGTCTCCTCTTGAAGATTTCCAGGGTAGGTGATTGCACCACCTCTGGAGGAAGCTTATTCCACAGTCTGGACACCCTAACTGTGAAGAAGTTTTTCCTAATGTTGAGTCTGAATCGATCTTCCAGGAGTTTGTGGCCATTGCTCCTGGTTTTCCCCTTGGGTGCCCTGGTGAACAGTTGCTCACTGAGCCCTTGATGTAGTGGTAAGCTGCTACCAGGTCTCCTCTCAGCCTTCTTTTCCTCAGGCTGCAGAGTACCAGATCTATCAGCCTTTCCTCATATAGCTTGCCTTTTAAGACTCTGATCATACAGGTCATGAACACCTGGTGCCTCCCAAGGCTGCAGGGCATAGCAACTGCCCACAGACAGCAGTGGTGGTGGCAGTGGTGTGACGGCGGTGAGTGGGGACTGCATGCAGGTGGTTGCGGTGATGTTGGCGGTGAGGGTGGACCAAGCAGGCACTGCCTGCAGACAGCTGGGGCAGTGTTGGGAGGGGGTGGGGG